GTTTCCATGCGACGTCCCTTGCAGCGCTGGATGAGGCCGTGCAATTGAAGTAGTTGTTCATAGTCGATATTGTTACTATGGCTCACCTACTGTCCTTCGGCTCACTCGTGGTGGAGTGAAGCCTTCCCAAGCTGTCTAAACCCTTGAGGAATGTCTGAGGCCCAGAGTTGGCAGCATCTTCTCACTTTTGGCCAGGCACGCACCGCCTCGGAGGCGGTAGCCGCGCTGCTCCGCAGGCCGGGCTCCAGAAGCCGTTGAATCGAGGAGTGTTCATGTCTGACGTCCGGCTTATGTCGGTTTTGGTAGTGGCTTCCTCTGCTTCGGCCGTTCGGCACCGTGCCCATGTGTGCTTCTGCGAAGCAGGATCTATGTAGCATGCACGAGGCGCCGAAGCGCTCAAGACTGGCTTGGCAACGATGATGCAGGCACTGTGTGCACTGTGTGCACACATGTGGCATATCGGACCTGCCAGATCAGGAATAGGGTCATTTTGTCTGACCCCGACCTTGGAAAGAAGCGGTGCCCAAAGAACGGAGAAGACGGTCCCAAATTAAAGTTCATTACGATGAGGCTCGCACACGACCGAAATCCCTCGAGGAAGATGCCCCAAGAGTTTGGCTAGCTGCTATAGAGACTGCTCTGGCCTTTACAGCATCTCCTGCGCAAAGAGCAAAGACGATTCTTCTGCACAAAGCAGCCAGAAATGGACGAGACACTAAAGACAGAAGCGTGGAAAACTGCACGGCCTGCCTCCGTGCAGCCACAACTTCCTCCGCTTGCTGACTTGGCTTCGCTGAGAGGCCTGGTCCCAGCCTGCGGCAGCCGGGCTGTGCCTTCACGACGAGGTGACATCGGCCAGCGGCTCAAAAGACCCAGGGGGCGTGGGGAAAGTCGGCACAAAGCGTGCTTGGCTCTGCACGTGGGATGGCGCTTGTCGTGCTTGGGAAGTCGCCTGGGAGAAGCTCGTCTTGCGCTTTTGGAGTGTTGGTCCAGGAAGAATGCAAGTTTTGGTGCGATGGGTGAGTCTGAATGCTGAGGCACCGCCTTCCTGGGCAGTCACGAGTCGCCTTCTTCTTTCCAAGGTCCTCACATTTGCAAACATGCACCCAACTTGCTTTCATTGGCCTTGCAGGCTATCAGCAGCAGCCGCCTCCACAGCAGCAGCAACAGCAATTCCAGCAACAGCCGCCACCACAGCAAGGCTGGCAGCAGCAACCGCCTCCGCAGCAAGGCTCGCAACGTGGTGCGCGCATGGTGTGCTGTCTCGTGCTCTGCAAATATCGATAACGAGTGCTCTTTGCACATATGTTTTTGGACAAACTCTCTCTCTCTCTCTCTCTCAACAGAGCTCTATGCTTTCTCCACATGAGGCCAATACCAGGGACAGCAGCAGCAAAACTTCCAACAGGGCCAGGGCCCGCCACCGCAGGGCGGCTATCAGCAGCAGGGCCGCTTGCCTAGTATGCCGAGCGTGGAGCTATATGTGACTTTTAAGCAGCTCTTTGTGTCAGAGACATTTCATGACTCTTTTGACATGAGGCTACCAGCAGCAGGGCTACCAGCAGCAGGGGGGCTACCAGCAGGGCGGCTACCCACCGAACCAGCAAGGCCAAACCATGATGGCCTTTCTCTGTCGAACAGCAAAACTTCTGGTGCGCTGCCCATGCCTGGCAAGGATACTACCAGGGGCAGCCTGGGCAGCCAGGCAGGGTAAACCGTGCAGCAGCCTGAGCCCCGAACCTGAAACCAACTTGAGAGGTTATCAAGGTGCTCCAGGGGCCCAGGGGGCGCCGCATACGCAGAGCTTTAGCCGCAGGGAGACTGCCAATTGTGGCCATGTTCTTCCCCTTCTTGCCTACAAGAGCTCTTAATTTCTGAGATTTGTAGCAACTATCATCGCGCGAAAATGTCAGCTCCACTGTACCACTGTCGTGACCACGATCTTTCTTGCAACTTTCCTGTGCCAGTGCTGCTAGCGGCAAGCTTCTTGCCTGTAAACTCATCCAAGGAGCCCATCTTCCGGTTCAAAAGCGGCGCTTATGGCAGGTCAGGGGAGCCTTGCTCAAGGGACTAAAGCAGGGACCCTTCTAAGGGACCTTAGGGGTTATTTGGGGGTTATTCGGGGCGACTTGGGTATATAGGGACTATAAAGGTACAAATGGGGATCATATAAGGGGAGTAAGATTAAGGGTCCCTTCGAGGGGTCCGTGCTTTGACCCCTTCACTTGCCATGCCTTGGGGCCACTTCCAGTGACCGTGTGTCGAGTTGAGAGGTGTCATGTCCCCCTTTGGCATTGCCATCATTGGAGCCGGGCTTTACTTTTACTGCAAGCGCAGCTGGCCCGTTTCAGAGTGTGAGTGGCAGCGGCACGTCATCCATGCGCATGCCGCAACTCAGGGGAAGGGATCCCTAACTCACCCGATTCCGCCATAGCGGAAAGTTTTCGTAAATATTCTATTCCCTGCAAAAATTGAAGTGGTTTGCTGTGAGGTTTCGGGTGCATGACAGTTTGCAACTGTCTGTTGGAAGGTTTTGTTTGCTCCTCTAAAACATGGTGAAATGCGTCAAGGGCCTCTTAATCCAGAAGCCAGAGGATTCCAGGAATCCAACCAAGCTAGGCCGGCCCGGCATTCTTTTCAGGGCCTAAACCCTAAACCCTAAACCCTAAACCCTAAACCCTAAACCCTAAACCCTAAACCCTAAACCCTAAACCCTAAACCCTAAACCCTAAACCCTAAACCCTTAACCCTTAACCCTTAACCCTTAACCCTTAACCCTTAACCCTTAAACCTTAAACCCTAAACCCTAAACCCTAAACCCTAAACCCTAAACCCTAAACCCCCCACCAGGTTTGACTTTACTTGGCTTATGAGCCGACGTATCACGGGAGCTCCCTGGTCGTTCCTGGCTGGGGGTTATGGGGGGCTGTCGTATTTCTTTCTTTTGACTACCCATGCTTCTAGCCATGAACCTTCAAACAGGCCTGGAAGGCCAAAGGATTCCACCTAAGACCCTCGTAAAACCCCTAAACCCGAAACCCAAAAACCCTAAACTCGTAAAACCCCCTAAGCCCGAAACCCCTTGAAGAAAATGCCCTAAACCCAAAACCCAAAACCCTAAGCCCTAAACCCCAAACCCTAAACCCTAAATCCCTGAAGCCAACCGCCAACCCACCAGGAAGCCGGCACCACCTGCAGGCTCTGGAGGTGATACCGGCAGTGAAATCGAGGAGCCAAGAGACTCTTCAAGAGACCCCCTCTCTGGTGGAAGGATTGGGTTTGGGGTTTAGGGTTTAGGGTTTAGGGTTTAGGGTTTCGGGTTTCGGGTTTCGGGTTTCGGGTTTTGGGTTTTGGGTTTTGGGTTTTGGAGCTTGGGGCTGGCAGAGAGAGAGAGAGAGAGAGAAGGGGTGGCTGGCGGAGGTGGCTTGTCATTCCCTTAAGACATGCCCGCCTGGTCTCTGCCTGGCACCATGGATGGGGATCGGAAGGGAGTGGGGACTGACACAACTAGCACATGCTTGACGTTATTCTTGAGCAGCGCCTACTCGTAACTTCGATTAGGGCTTACTTAGCCTTTGGATTCCAGAGACTTTTCTGTACGAGGGAAGGCTCAACCAAACCACCCGCCCTCCCACCTGAAGATCGATGCCGCCAGGACAGCGATATAGATGACGACGATGGCTCTGAAAAGAGCTGAGGGTGCAGTAGAGACGGGCCAGCCTACTCAACGCTGCTTCCCGAGATTCCTCAAGAGAGCCCTGTGAGGTGTCTGACTGGACCGTTCCATATTGCTCTTGCAATGGCTGTGCAAAGGAGAGTTCTCAAGTTGTATACAACCAATAGAATAATGCAACATACTAGCACTACAAGCATCAAGACATACATAGTTATGTATACGCATTTTCACATATGGTAGTATATATGTGCACATGGTAGCACATGTGTATACGTATGTATACATACATATCTCTCTCTGTTTCTACATATATATATACACATGGTTATGGCCGTTACGGGCTTGATGAGACATTCGCAGCCTTGCAGCACCTTGCTTTAAGGCACGAGTGCTCACCGCAGCGCTAGCAAGGTGCAAACGCACGATGCGTGCCGTTGCCGAAGCGATGCGACGTGTGCACTTACTGACAGTCATGAGCACCTTGGCTACCAGACCCCCAACCTGCCCCTTCTCCAGTAGCATAATGTTGCACTCGATCCCCGTCCACCACAGTAGCCTCCTCGAGACAAGTAGCTTGCAGACGTTGAAAAGGCATGTGATGTTGAGCACCGACAGCACGCACTGGAACTGGTGTGACAGATCTCAGATCCTCAGCACTTGATTTTGAATGGAGTGGGAGTGCCTCTCTGTCTCTGTCAGGGTACTCACATAAGCCGGACCCGCCGCAGCATCAAGCCCCCAGCTTGCCTGATCAAGAGCTTGCAAGGGGAGAGGGAGATGAGGTCCTCCAGACAGACCTAAACTGCACACACCCAAAGATGCAAAACAAAGTTGAACACATCACCCGCAAGCCATCCCAAACTTAAACCCAGCTTCTCCATGGCGCAAGGATGCCAAGCATCCAGGCCCCTGCTCAATAGTAACCCGATTTTGTCCGACAGTCATGCAGACAAGGCGGCACCCGAGACTTGAAGTGTGTGTGTGTGTGGATGTGATGACTTTATATCCCTTTTCCTTCAGATCTTCGTCGCCGCGGCGTGGGAAGCGCAATCTCAAGGCGGGATGCCCATGGAAGCTTTGCCTTAGGTGCGAAGCTGCAGGGCTCTTGACAGAGCCGGGGGAGTGGGTGTTAATTTCAACACATCTCAGATTTCAAAGCTCCTGAATGTATTTTGTGACCAAGCTAGACGTGCAGCCTCGCAGAGCTTCCATGTACACGTCCGTCTGAAGAGGCGTTGCTGTTGGCACGGCTTCGAGATCGTAGTGCTTCTTCAAAGGACAGACCGGGATTGTGGGTCACAGCATGGTGAAGGCCACAGCCTAAATGCCCATGCAGGAGGTTGAGTCGGCGTTAGCAACACTTCGGGGGAACTCTTGGATCTCGGGCCGCATGCTCAGCAGCAAGCAAATTTGAGGTAAAGGATCGTAGTGCACGGCTACGGCTTCCGGCAGCTTTCTCGGCCTTCACGTGCCGTGCGCTGAGGTGCCAAGGAGCACGTACCAAGACCCGCTCAGTGTTTTCAATGTGTGAAAATTTTTCATGAAGTTCAATCGCAGCTCCTGAGCCCAACGGGTGAGGAGTATGCAATTGTGCTCGACTGCACGGGGCGCCAGTCCCGCTGGCTGGAGGCTCGACCCACAGAAGCTGAGGGCCAAGAGAACCCAGAGAACCCAGAGGATGAAGGTGAAGTCTCTGAGGCCTTCGAGCTGTGGCACGAGATGCGGTCGCCGGCCGAGATGAGGTTAGCGACAGGCGTTGATCTTGTCTCCGTAAATGTTCTGACCTCTCTGATCCACGACGACGCCTCGGGTGTGGGTACGCCTGACGTCAGATGGGGCCAGCCGTGGGTTGAATGCGTCTTCTAAGAGGGTTGCGTGGTGCTGGTGTCCCTAGAACTGCTGGATGCGAGCCATGGGCATGTCGCCTGTCATGGAATGGGCTCCATCTGGCAGATCTTGCATGCATACGTCTCTCACCATATATCGCTAGCCTCAGGATGAGCTCCGCTTAGCAACCGAAATAGCTGCCAAAAGCTACATCATGGCATCACACTCCCAAAACAAGCACACACCAATTGACGCGTCAGTTGACAGCAGGGAGGGGCAGGCCCCCAGTCCATGTCCTGGCGGGTGCGCCAATGGATGAGACAGATGCAAAAAGATGCGAAATATGCAATCCTGGAGTCAGCCGAAGTGGGAAAGGCACCCTTGCAAAGTTGTCTGCCAATCGTGTCTGTTGGTGACGAAACCCACATCTGGTTGTGCGGGCTGTTGAACATTGTGACAAGTTGCAACAGCGCTCGGATGGAGGTGCAATGTGTCTCAGTTCCGCCTGACATCTATGGAATGACGATCACGGTTGCCGGCTGCCGAGCACAAAACTATGTGAGCTTGATCACATGCATGTAGATGAGACAGGCCGAAGAGACAGTTGGCTTCCTGCAGGTGATACAAGATCTTCCCAAGCTGTTGAACCCATCACAGCTCGATAGGCGCGGCACCGCAGTGTTGCACAGGTGCTGAGTGGGAGCATATGTTGTTTCAGGATTTGTGATCGCACCAGAGCCTAAACCCTAAATCCTGAACGTGAGCCGCAATGCAATGCCCTGGCACTTGGCCAAAGGCTCTCCGGCGCACGGCTAGCCTTTTGCTTCGTTGCCGCTGTAACAAATGTGTGGCTTCAGTTGATGCAGCTTGGACCGGCACTTGGTCTACAGAGTCTACTGAAGGCGGTTTAGTTTAGTCCTTGACTCCCTGTGCAACCTCGTGAAGCAGGCTTCTGTACGAAGTCAACCACTACCTCGTCGATGGTTGCGGCCTCAGACCGAGTGAGGCCTTGACTTCAAGCCTTTTCGGCCCTGAAAGGGGCCCTATGGCCAATGCGCTTAGCCTCGCCTTGAGCTTTCTGAGGAGCCATTCACCAGTCGCAGGCGGGTGTGGCAGTTCTGCTGGCTGTTTCCCGAAATGACGTTCTTGAGAAAACATCTGACACGCCATTGCACGTGGAGTCTCAGTCTAGAACTGGCCATGATTGGGACATACTGGGGGGGGGGGCCCTCTCACTCCAGATGGTAGTTTTTGAGTGAGGCCTTGCCAACGTTTTGGGCAAACCGTTTGCTTTGTCAGAATGAAGCAAAAACTACGTAGCTTGGAATGTCTCCAGAGTCTCGTTTCTGTCGAGATGTGCTTATTGGTCACATCGTTGGAGGCACGTAGTGACGGGTGGGCATGCAGCCCAAAGCCCACGCAAAACCCTTAATACCCCAAGAGGAGAGATGCTTCGAATCAAACCACTGTCAGTTCTCGCTTTGCGGAGCGAAGCTTTTCAATAGCTTGTTCTGACTGCGAAGAATAAGTAAAAAGCAAGGGGCGCTCCATCAAGACCGTCAAGACTTTCACATGTCTTCGGCACCTTTGCTTAACTCAGACCTCCAGGAGAACTATGCTCAATATCATCGCGAGATCTTCGACAAGGAAGGGAACTTTCTGGAAGACAAGTGGAAGGTGTGGACTGGCCCCTACATGGCCCTTTGGCTCGGACACATGATGGAGATGTTCCCAAGCGGTGAGTTTACCGTGGAACCCTCGACTCCCTAGAAGACTCCCCAGGCTGCGCTCTCTCATCCTAGGAGCTTTGCAACATGCCGGTGACGCGTGCGCGATTCGCGACTGCCATCACCTTCCTCTGGTGTGCAAGGCGCGTCTCGGCTATGCTGGGATAGCCCCTGATCTGAGTGTTCAACGCTTGAGGATGGTAAGCGAAATTCACGACAGCATCAAGCTCACGAGGACACTGTGCCTTGGCGAAATGAAAGCCTCTTTGACCATGTGGCCATGTGAATTGAAACGGCTTCGTTTGCCAAGCCACTCATCTGTGGAAAGCATGTCTCTGCCTTGCGCACTGAGTGAGTGAAGGCAGCTAGTGCCCGTTCGTGGAGATGCAAGTCAAGTTCCTTTCTCGATGTAGCCCCGCACAGCTCCGTCGGTGAGTCGGTGAGGTGTGCCCTCGAGACTCTGCCTGCCGGCGAGTCTCCAGCAGCAGGAATGATCCTTGGTGGAGTAGTGCAGGAGCAGTTCGGGGGCCTGATGTGCTGAGATTTCTGCAGCTCTCCTTTCTGGCCTTTCTAGCCCTTGCCATTGTGTCTTCTGCACTCCAGATCAAAGGAAGCTTGAAAGGAATGACATGGAGGAGATCGAGACCATCAAGGTGCGGGCCAAGACAAACAAACAGGTAAGGTGAACAGGTAGAGCATGGCAGACATACAGTGAGTATGGTCTATAGCACGTATGTATAGAGTCTGTAAAGTACATGGAGTACTAGAGCAAATTTTAAGTCTGCACTTCCAGGTGCACTCTGTGGGCCATGCGATTCGACTGAACCTCCTGATTACTGTCACGCTGCCGATGCTCGCACTGCCTGGAAGCATTGAGAATGCGAGCCTCACATTCCTGCCATACCGCAGATGTCCCCAGAGAGCCCAATACCCCTTAGTCAAGGAAGATACCTTAATTTATACAGGGATCCTTGGTATGATTTAAGGGTATATTCCTTATTCAAGGGGCATTGGGCTCTTTGGGTCCTCATCCTTTGCAGCTGAGGAAAGTGCTCGTGGCAATGGCGTTACTTTACTGTGGCATGCGCTTTCTGGTTGCGACTCAGTCCATGGCAGACGTCATCTTGAATGCCCTTGCCCTGGAAGCTGCCGCTTGGCCGATCCGTTAAGTCAATGCCGTCAACACCATGGTTGAAGATGCTTTTGCATTTTGTTACCCATGACTCCCACATACTTCACTTTTTTCCGTGTGCAACAGATCATCTCCATCGACAACTTGATGTACGAAGCATTCACGCCCGCTTCAACCAGGCCTGAGCAGAAGGACTTACGTCAAGGAATCTGCGAAGACCTCCCTTACCTGGCACATTGGCAGGCGACACGTTGAGCAGACGGTCTTGGCCTTCCTTGCAAAGGACAAGGTTACCCGACAGGTTGATAAGCCCGACGAAACGATAACCCGATGCACTGGCTGGGACTTTCAACTCCTGCATGCCTTCTGTTGCATCAGGATGAGTCGCCCGCAGAGAGAGAGAACAAGAACTTCCGCACGATCATGACCTACTGGCTGATCTTGCTGTCGGTTGCCGCCGCCAGGCTGCAAACGTGAGTGGCACTGTACCCATCCCCCAAACAGCAAGCCGCGCCAGACTTGTTGCAAAGCCTCGTGTCTCGTGTAGTAAATGAGTAGGGCCTGAGTAGGGTGCCTGCTCGACGAGGTTTATACTGTACACCTACACACATGCCGATTCCTTGGATGGTTTGTTCATTCTCTTCTACTGCTTGCCATTGAGCTTTCCACCCAAGGGCTTCTAAGTGGCCGATCTCGGTCTAGAGAGCGTAGCGTGCCAAACAGCACAGTGCATTGCTGCTTTTTCCAAGGTCTTCGCTTATGTCTACACAAGCGAGATCCAGCAAGTTCTGCCCAATTTTCCCCACGCCACTTCGTTGAAATCACATGAGCATCTCTGCAGCTAACTGAACCCTTAACGATCAGAGATGTAACGCAACGTCTCCACATGTGCATTGCCTTTGCGAAGTGCTGAGGATCTGCGGCCTCATTGTGATACCTGGTTCGAGAAGATGTTCAATCCCCCTTGCCCGCAAGCTGGACGGAAATTAGGGCAGCGCAGTGCTTTCCGTGGACTGCCGAAAGACTTCCCAATCCCACTTGTCAAGAACATGGATCATTGCCCGAGCTGAGGCCATTTAGTGATCCAGAGGACTGCTTCCCCATCGGTCCTCAGAATCATTAGTACATATTATTCGCTCAGGGTTGCGACACAGTGACTTCGAGTGTTCGCAACCTTCGACTTGTTTAGGCTTAGTGGCTTAGTCTCAGCGGTAATCGCCGCTGAACAGAGGCCTAAGGCGCCTCAAACAATGGCTCCAAACCCAAAATCCCCAATAGGTTACGAATAAACGTGCCGGGGTCGTCCTGCCATGTCTCACAAGCAGAGTGCCATTCCGCGTGCTCGAAAATAGATGCCCGCTGCTCAATCAGACGCATCGAGCGCAATTTGGTCGACTTTGATTCGGGCTTTCTGAACTGGGGCCCCTTCTTGCCAGGAGCCTTTCGCGTCAGTGAGCACTCTGAATCTTACATACCCGTGCCAATGGGTTCATCAAATTCAAGCAGGACAGGACACAGCAAAGGTGTGTTTCCAGAAGGCCGACAGAATGCCTTTACACGGACGGCTTAGTTCCCTGCTAAACCCCCTAAACCCTAAACCCCAAACCCCAAAACGCTAAACCCCAAACGCTAAACCCTAAACCCCAAACCCCAAACCCCAAAACGCCAAACCCCAAATGCTAAACCCTAAACCCCAAACCCCAAACCCCAAACCCCAAACCCCAAACCCCAAACCCCAAACCCTAAACCCTAAACCCTAAACCCTGAGTCGCCCTCCCCTCCGGTCCGAGGCTGCGGAGTGTGCGCGCCGACCTCGTGGCCTGGAACTCGGCAGCGCAGGTCGCTGCGAGAGTCAGGTGGGCCCCTTCGCGCGGAGCTGGGTTTAGGGTTTAGGGTTTAGGGTTTAGGGTTTAGGGTTTAGGGTTTAGGGTTTAGGGTTTAGGGTTTAGGGTTTAGGGTTTACCAAACTTGGGGCAAGAATGCCGAATATCACATACTGACTGTGCTAAGTACCGATCCAATTTTCTGAGATGCTTCTCGAGATTGCCCCTTGATGGTGCGGGTATCGCTCCATGGAATCAGTGGGGTTCTCTAGGCATTCTCGATGAGATTTTGTGGGATTCTCTGTGGAGGCTTCTGCCATTGGGAGTCCTGAGCCGGAAGCGAGAGCTGCAGGGTTCGCACGAATTGCCCCCCAGAAACACCAGAAAGGCCGTCCTTCAACAAGGCTTATACGCCCGAAGCTTGAATCCGAGCCCCATGCTTGGCCTGCTGGGGCATGCTTCAGGAATACTGTCCTGGGTACTAGGGGCATGCTTCAGGAAGACTGTGCTGGGTACTACTGGCTTCAGTACACAATGATACTTGTCGATGCCTGACATCCCTGCACTAGCTTTCCTCCCAGTCCCTCAGTGCGGCGCCCTGCGCTGGTCATATGACATGTGGAGGTGGCCGGAGGCGCTGGCAATGCTCCTCTGCCAAGCTCCTGCTGCTGGCTTGCTCGGGGCCTCAGCCACCCCTTAGTGCCAAAGGAGATCAAGGAGTCTCACATAGTCTCACAAAATGCACAGAATGCAAGAAGAGCACAAAAGCTTCGGATCTTTACTGCGCTACCATTTTCACCGCTCCCTAGCACGGCATCCACAGGCAGCTCAGCGACGTCTCGTGGAGCCTTGCTGCCAGTGCTGCGCAGCGTTGGGAGCACGCACTGCAGTTGCTTGACTCAGTACTTCCAGAAAGCCAGAGCCACTGAGTGGAAGATGTGGACAGGATATACCCTGCCATGAAAGCCAATGTGAACTTACCAAAAGTTACCTTCAGGGTCACATGTGCCCAGGCTGGTGCCGGAAATCCCACTCCACGGAAGCTTGTCAGCACTTGTCTGGCAGAGCGAAAGAGTCTCGGATTTCATCACATTTGTGAAGCCAGTCTCCGTCACTTCTCTCTGGTCAGTTCTCCAAATTTTGGCCCCTTTTGGGTTCCCTAAATAAGAGGGCCCCAAAATGGACATAAATGGACCATATTTTTGAGAAATGACTGTAATTAAGGCTTCCTGAAAACCAATGAACACAGCGTCCTAGGTCCCCTCCGCAATGTAGCCATCGCCGCGCTGGCAGAAGGGCAACAGTGGGAAGGATCGGACCGGCGGCAATACTTGATGGTCCTTCTCTAAGTTCCCTACATATAGGGCCAATGAAGAACAACCTTATCGGGCAGTTTTTGCCTACGAGAATGGCAGAGGGTGGATTCTAGGTGACTGTCGGGCTGTCGATGCTTGCTCATGGCTTCAGGTAGTAGCAGCACGCAAGTAGCGCGAGAGCCTCGAACTTGTGACCCTAAACCCTGAACCCTGAACCCTAAACCCTAAACCCTAAACCCTAAACCCTAAACCCTAAGCCCTAAACCCTAAACCCTGTGTAGATCCCCCTTCTAGCCGAACTTACAGAGCGTAACTTGTCGCTCGAGGGTGCCTTGTTCAAGTGACAAGCGGCTGTGAGTTTCGCCTTCTGGCTGTACGCTCTGTCAGTCCTTACCAGTAAAGCCTTGACATCAGATCAGTGTGGGTTCCTGCGCTGCCACTGGAATTGGTAGCAGCTGAAGTTAGGTTCACTAAATGCCCTTTCTTGCCCTGTGCAGCTGCGCTGGCGCTCCTTGGCGACAGCCCCGCTTGGAGCCCAGAGTTCCACGACAGGCTCTGAAACCAAGTTTTGCGGGGCCCGCTCTCGGCAACGACACTGACTGAACAAAGGGTTTAGGGTTGAGGGTTGAGGGTTTAGGGTTTGGGGTTTAGGGCAACAAGGTAGCAGCACACGATTTTGCCTTTCTGATCTGCAAAGGATGTGGTCGCCCTGAGCAGTTGCATGGCAGCTTTGCAAGGCGGGAGCAGGGAGGCTCCACAGGGTTGTATTGCAAGGCCTTGGCAGAGTACTTTTGGAGCTTCTCCCCGTCCTCCCCCCAAAGCTCGCGTCTCTGCACCCACGCTTATCTTGAACGTGTTTGCTTTATGGCGCGCAAGAAATTTTTGAAATGCTCCAATCTAAAAGGCTGATTGAGTGTCGTGCGGTGGAGCAGCCTTGTCCAGGGTCCAGGGCTTTGTGGAACGCGGGGACTTAGGCTTCTTTTTTGGTGGCCCTAGCAGTGGAGGAGCCCTGCACTACCCTGAACTATCCTCCCGAGCCCAATGAACCCGGAAGCCCTGATAGCCTTAAACCTCCTCACATTTTTCAGCGCCCAAACCCAAACCCAACCCTAAACCCCAAAATCGGTCCGCAGCTCGCCAGGCAGCCCCGAGGCGTGGCAGAAGGCAGTGGCCTTGCTCCAGCGCTGTGGCAGCCTTGCTGACGCTCTGCGAAATGTGCTACCTTCAGACGTTGGGTGTTTTCGGGGGCATGTAAGCATGGCATTTTTTTTTGAAGGGATGGTTCAGGTTGGTGGTGTAAGGGAGGCTTTAGTTGGGTGCATGTCGAGATATGCACTGTGATAAGATGGAGCTGGGCTGGTGGAGCACACAGGGCACAGTGGGCATTCGTGCAGCGTTTCTCTGAGTATGGTAGGCGTGCCAGCTGTGCCCTTCCTTTGTTTATTTGCTGCAGTTCAATCGTGAGGTGGCGAAATGTAGGGAGTTCTTGTTTTGCTGCAAGCACGGTGCATCTAGAAGCATGCAGCTCAGGATGTCGTTGCTTATGGAGCCTGCAGCATCCTCGGAGTCCGTAAATGGCACAGCCTCCCTTCCTCCGAGAAACAGAGCTTAGGGTTTAGGGTTTAGGGTTGAGGGTTTAGGGGTTGAGGGTTTAGGGTTTAGCCCCCTTAGCCCCTGCCTGAGAGTTGAGTATCTTGGATGTCCCGCGACCTCCACGCAAGGCAGCGGTTCACGAAGTCAACTGCAAAAGCAGCTGCAACAGCACTTGCAATGAGGTATGAGCGCTTGCGGTCAGGAGCTGCAGTGGCAGCTGGCTCTACACTTGCACCAGGACACGTCCATCATACCTCGTGCAAACGCCAGCTCGACTCTTTCAAGCAATTCACGCTGAAAGCATCTTGTCCGGAACTTGTCGAGCAATGTGGAGCAGCAAGTGGGAGCTTGCTTTGTCATGAAACCAGTGAGGAGATGAAGCTTCTGGCGCTCCAGCCCAACGCCGTGACCTGGACTGTCTTGAGCAGTCTCATCTCAGGGCAACACCGTCGGACACGCAAACAAAACCAAACACACACACACACACACAGACAGAGAGCGATTTACACAGGAGCTGCCTTTCTTCGGCATTTGCTGCGGCGCAGGCCCGCGACACGGTGCGTGCGTTTGTTTGTGTTCCCCAAGTTCTCTGAGAATAACCTTTGTCAAAGTAGAGTGAAACTTTGCAATCATTCAGAGCTTTGCCCCAAAGGGAGTGCTCTCTTTGCATCGCTCGGGAGAGGCGTGGCCGTGGGCCCTTTCAACAGTCAGCGAGCTGGGGCATCACGGTCAGGCAGGGGTTCCATATGCCATCCCGAAAAACCTTATGGTTATGATTGTCGTGATGAGCATGACTACAAGACTGTTATTTTCACTGTCTTGACTTTTTTGATTGCTCAGATCCTTTGGTATTAATTATTGCATATTGCTATGCTCATGAACGCAGGATCTGCAACCGGCAACAACGAGTGCAGCTGCGGCAGCGTATGCAGCGCGCAGGTCTGGATTGATCAGACGCATGCATGCATACTGCTTCGTCGGGCTCTGGTGTCGCAGTGGCTTGTAGAAGGGACAACAACAGAAAGCGCATCGTTCATTGTCAGTGAATCGTAGCAGCGCTTATGGCTGGTTGCCCGTGACGGGTCACATTTTCAAGCTACATGCTGCAAGTCCTCTGCGTGAAGAAGTGCGAGGCGGTGGAGACCCGCGATGCAGCTACTGCAGGCCACGTTGCGAGCTTCAGTATCCCACATCCTCTCTCCTGAGAAATCTTCAGCTCCATGCCTTCCTCCACTTTACGCCAGGATTTGGTGGTGGCATCTTCGCAGCTGCACATCGCTTCTGGGCACCAAAGTCATTGAGGGTGTCGACGTCGACGGGTGCATTCTATGGCATTATTCAAACCCAGGGAGAGACAGACACAGGAACACGTCAATGGCCCGAAATTCCTGGATCTTGTATTTGGGACTTAGGGCCTTTTTGAGAAAACATGAAAGATTAAGCACCACTAGACAACTCCAATCAATCATCTTGTTAATGGAGTTCGTGAGAAGTGATGAGCAGCCAGAAAGAAAGACTACGAAAACACATGAGGATGCAGCAGGCTTTAAAGCTGTTTTATTTGGTTGTTTAAAGAGGCCTTTGTATCAAAAATGCTTATCAGAGGCCTCTTTCCATCATACAGTCCTCATCTCTTGCCTTGACACCCCAAGCCCCTGGACAACCCCAAGGCCCAACAATCTACCCACCCCACGCAGACCTGAATCCTTGAACCCTCAGCTCAGGTGGCGTGCAACAGCCTCTTAGCGGCCCTTCTGCGCGGGGGCGCGGTGGTCCGGGCTCTAGCGCTGGCCGAGGAGTTCCGCGCCAGAAGGTGCGGAGAGTCGGTCGGACACGTGGGCAGTTCTTGAAATTATGGCTCCATATATAGGGGCACCCCAAGCATAAGGTACTGTATCATAAAAAGGAACCCCAAAAGGGACCCTTGTGTAGATAGCTGCCCGCGAGGACATCTGGGGTGCGCAGCATGTAGCGCCGAGCGATTGTTTGTGAATGAACATGAAGGGAAGCGGTGCGGGTAGCTATCGCCGGATGGCCGCTTGAAGCTTGTTGTTAGCTTCAACTCATCCGCCTTCATTTCGTCGCCATGATGTTGGCCACTCAGGCGACAGCCTAAACTGAAAAGAAAAAATGCAGGAGCCCTAAACCCAACAGAGAGGCCTTAAGCCTTAAGCCCGAAAAAGGCCACGGGGATTGAACAGCACACAAAGCAGACAACCCGAAGCCTTCAAAGGAGACAGCCTTAAGCCTTGGAAGGTGCCTAGAAGGGAGATGAGGGGTTGAACGCCTTGGCCCCCTAAAACAGAAGGAAATGGGGAGTGGAAAGCCCCAAGCCCTGGATAAAGGAAAGAAAAGAGCGGATGAAAGGGCATGCCCCAAGTGACCCTGAAAGCAGATGGGAAGTTTGGAGAGTCAAAACCCGGAGCAGTCACAAGTGACCCTCAGCGCCTTCCCTGAGACGTCTGGCAAGCGTCACCAGTGACCACAATGCCAAGTCACGAGAAACAGCAAGTGTCAAAAATGAGAAGTCAAAGAGGTCAAGTTTACTCACAGAAGAGGGTGGTCGTAGCTTGTGTAATGCCACCTTGTGGACATCACTTGAACTTGAACGCTGGTTGACCTGTGGGAGGTTGCAACCAACGATGGCCACATATGATGTTGCCACGCAGCTGCGGTTCATTTCGACCCGAAAGCCCTTAACGAGCCGGTAGCTGGACAGCAGCGTTTGTTTCCTTGGGATTGGTGACCCCAGGAACTTGCAGCTTGCGCAGCCCGCGGTGGCCCTGCACTCCACCACACGGCAGGGAGAGCATGATGCAGTCGGCTGCGCAGAAGTCAAAAACATCGTTTGCCGCTGCCAGGCGAAGCTTTTGGACGACATTGCGCTGGCGGCACCGGGCCTTTGCATGTGAACATCGCAGCCAACTGCGGAAACTGCACCTGCCCGCCGTGGCGCCGCTCCAACTGCTCCCTGTGGATGGGCAGCTGCGTTGCTTCGCCCACGGAGCGCTTCCGTCACTTGCTGTCAGTAATCGCTTTTCGCATCTCGCGCCACGTGTTATGACAAGTTTGTTGTCCGGATTGGTCGAGTCGGTGTGGCTCATGTTTTCGCAATCACAGACGAGGCATCTTGCCCCGTCGCTGCCAATGAAGAATCTTCAGAAAGGAGCAGCACTCGTTCAACAACTTGAGAAGCGTCAGAAGACGTGACGAGGTGCAAGGGGAGGGAATGGGCAGGCACCGCAACAAGATGAAGGCAGTAGGGCATGCGGAGTTGCCTTGGGAGCTTGCTTGCAGTTGGAAGCCGTCATGCAGCCGTCCTTGCACACTTGCTGGTCGATTCACAATGGCAGCAATGCCTTCTCGCAAGTGTTTGGCTCAAGACCGGCCCCCCCGACACGCTGCCTGACATGACCCGCTCATCCAGCGCACGCGCCGCATGGCTGCTCTTCCAGCTGTCCGTTGCCAGCGCCGTCGAGCACGGCGGTGGCAGCGGCGACAGCGTGGCAGAAATTGAGCAGGTGTCCATCGCCAAGTTTCGAGATGGTTCAGCGGCCGAGCGTGCTGCTCAAGTGGAGGCTCTGCAGAGGGCTTTCGCCTTGCAAGGCATGGTCACACTGGTCGACACGGGAATTGACCAAGATCTGATTGACAGGACCATCAGGGTGAGCCGGGACTTCTTCTCCCTTCCTCGTGCCAGGAAGCAGCACTTCCATGGCCCCGAGGGATATCCCCCCCGATCCTTCGGAGCCATCACGTCGCCGCGTGGAAAGCACTATCACCTTCAGCAGGAGGACGAGGAAGGCAACATCTTAAACGAATGGCTTCAGGTGCGAAACACCTCAGTGCAGGTCGATTGGTCGGATCCCTACTACTCATGCCCGGAGGGCCAAGAGCACTACAGCTCGGAAGCCAAGCACCCTGAGCAACAGGAGTGGCCCGAGGAGGTTCCGGGTCTGCAGGAAGCAACGGCCGCGTACTATGGCGCCATGGAGGAGCTCTCCAAGGTCATGTACGAGCTTTTTGCGGTGGCCCTGGGCATTGAGCCCGACTTCTTCTTGAAGCAGGCGCTTCGATCTCCGATTTGGCCGGTGACTATTGCCCACTACCCTCCTCAAACCCACGCACCTGCTGAGGACCGTGCAAGGATTCAGCCACATTGGGATCGCACGCTTTTCTCCATGATCACAAGCAGCGATGCTGGTGATGAGGAGTCAGGTGGAGGCTTGCAAATCCTTGTTGATTCTGCGACTGGTGAGGGCGTCGATGGGCGCGCCAAGCTCGAAGGGCGGTCAGTAGAGTGGCGCAGTGTGGTCCGACCCAAAGGTGGCTACGTTGTGAACGTCGGTGAGATGATGAGTCGATGGTCAAACGGCCGCATGAAGCATGTTGTGCATCGCGTGCGAAATCCCGTTGTGAACCATACTGACCCAGGAAGGATATCTCTCATGGCATATGTCTTGACAGATTATGATTCAGTGGTTGAGTGTCTGCCCTGCAAGACAGATGGGTCCGAGCCCATCTACGAAGCGACATGGGTAGGGGAGCTCATGAATTGGGGGAGTAAGCTTCCCATCTACAACCAGACCAAGCAAGAGATGATGCGTCAGGCCCAAGGGCTCTACCTCTCAAATGGCACTCAAACATCCCTTGGTGAGCCAACAGATGTCAAAGCAATCGAAGCATCCCTGGCTCTTTGCGATGCCTCCGGCAGCTCTTGTATGCCGAATTCGGCCACGAGCTAAGTCGCAGCCAGTTTTGCCCAGAGCTTCTCTTCCCTGCAAGCATGCGGCTTGCTAGGCTCTGAGCCCGCCTTACATTGGCGTAATTTACTTTACACCCTGGGCTAAAGCCTCTGTTGCAGCAGTGCATTTAGTCACGTCTTCCGCTCTCGTCGAGGGCAGCTATAGTGGTAGTCGGCATGACAAGCATGCCATCAGGTCCATCTGCAGAGAGCCTGTGCTGCATTCTTACGGCTAAGATGCGCGGAGCTCCTGCTTAAAAAATGTTTGCTGCAGCTGTCTGCGTGCGGAAGATGTCACAGCCTCAACATGTCGCCAGGTGTGCACCCGCGCGCGAAAGCTTGGGCTGCCCTCCCTCACTGGACGAGAGGAGAGATGCTCTCACCGTGGTCGACTTCATGCTACTTACGGAGACCCTCTTCTCAAACTGCTGCAACTCGCTTTTGTCCGTGCGCCTGGTGCTCGCCTGGTGCGAACATGTGCTGCAATGTCCCTTCCAGCCAGTGAGCAGATCCTGGACGGAGCTGTGGAAGATACAAGCTCAAGAGTCACTGCAACACAACACACACACACACAAACACACACATGGCAATGCTCTAAGCAAAACCCCGCCCCCCCCGGCCCCCAACAAAACTCTCCATATGAAAGCCTATACCAAGATGCTTCTGTGCCGCCGACACCTGCACAAGCAATTGCCAAGTACCGCACCCTTCCGAATAACCTGATTGTTGGTGACATGAGGGACTTTCAAGTCATCCGCGGAAAAGTGTGGAGCGTCTGCCTGCATCTTTTTGAGCCTGAGTTTCTGCGTGAAGCTGGGACATCCACTGTCTATTCCATGGAGACGTTGCGGACGGGCACACCGGTCTGAAACACCCATGTGTTTCTGCTTGCGTGCTTCTGCCTGGTGCATCCAATGAAAAACATCCTAACTTAGCAGGTGGCTGTCAGCAAGTCTGCTTTGGATCTGCCGTTGTCATTCCTCTTGTGGTTTCCTCGTCCAGTCAATTCTCCACATGTCCCCGTTTGCGATGTCGACTTGTGTGGGCAGTCTCCGGCCTGCAGCCTGCAGGCTCCAGTCGCACACACTGCCTTGTTTGACTACGTCGGGTTCTTCGTCTTTTTCTGCGTCCAATCTACAGGACTTGCAAGGCTGTGCAAGCAACCTCGTTGACCACTCCCTTTTGTCAAACATAGCACTCATGTTTCCGCGGTTTTGCTTCCAAATCTTGGGATGCAGGAACCCTCCTCAGATTGTTTACAGAAATCTCAAATGTCAAAGTATACACTAGACAGGCTCATGGTTGCGGAGGTCAATCGTTTGCAGTTTGCGATACCAGTGCAGAATTTCGGTGGAATTCACATCCGCTAACTGCTGATGTTGCTGCCCGCTCATTATCAGCAACGTAAACAAGTTATCATCGTTTCTTGCACTGTCTTCTGCAATTGTTGCTTCCAAGAATGGCATGTGCTGAACGCTCGTTGCGGACGAAGCGCCACTTCATATGCGGCTACGCAGCATTTGTTGGATCGAGCGCCAGGGTAATGCGGACGAATACTGAAAGGTGCACACCCATCTTCTGCAGCCCAATCCGGAATGTCGGCCCCTGGCGAGCAAGAGGCATGGAAGTAGGATGGAATGCAAACGTCAAATGCCAATGTTTCGCAACTGCAGCTTCAAGGGCATAGCCAAGCTTGGCCCAAGGATCATTACTTGTCGCGTTGTAACTTGACAGGGTGAATTTCAAGTGCTTTTGCAAGCCCTGACGCCTTGGCCACAACACTGAGACCTTAAGGAGAACCTAAACATGAGTTTGCGGGTTGAAGAGACACTGCTGCGATTGGTGTGTGTTTCCCTCCTGCCTTCTGTGAACTCCGGCACTTTTGCGAGCTCTTCACGAGCTTGATTGCTAGGCAGGCGTGGACGGCTCAGACCTCAGCTTGAGGCAGGTGGTCTTCTCCGAGATCCGTCCGGCAACGATGCCCTCAGAAGACCTGCCGACGTTCTTCTTTGTTCGTCATCCTGCCTGCGCGCCTCTCTTCCCGATGGCGCTCGCATGCCCGGCTCGCAGCGAGTTGCTCTTGATTTCGCTGTCATCAATGCGCTTGGTTCTAGTCACTGGCAGACCTCTTGTCGTGAGATTGGTGGGGCTGCGGCTGCATACGCTCAAAAGAAGCGTCGCCACCTTGACACGGCTGCCCACTGTCAAGCCGAAGGCATTTCGTTTCAGCCCGTCGTCTTCACCTCTCAAGGCACCATGACCAAGGAAGCATCATCCATCCTCCGCGGGATTGCTGAGGCCATCTCTGTTGCCGAAGGGGGCTGCCCTGCCCAGCTCTGTGAGGAGATTTTCGAGCGCGTTGCCATTCTCATTGCCCGGGCCAACAGCCGTGCTGTCACTCGGCGCCAGCAGCCCCGTGACGCGGGTGTTTCCGCAGCCAGCGCAGCTTTGGCTGCCCACGCCGTCCTTAGTGAGCCCATGGACGTTTGCTGAGTGACCAACTGGTGCATCTGACCTAGGTCTCTCCGATAGTAATTTGCTGGCGTTGGTTGTCCAGGGTTTCTGTGCTTAGTGGCCAGATTCTCTGTCAATCTTGCCCGTTTTGCTGGCCTTGTTGCCCTCTGCAGCAAGTGCCGCCTCTGTATGCCACACTGCCCTCACCAGTAGGAGTGCTATGTGTGTTCTTGTTTTGGCGCCGCCCTCAGAAGTAGGTGTGGTCTTGTTTCTTTCACATATGCTCTTGTGCTGGTTTTGTTTCCTGGTGTTTGAGCACCATCAGACATTTGCGTTCCATTTGCTAGGCAGGTGGGACTTCAACTACAATGAAGCCGGAAAACGTCTCATGGGCCTGTGTAACTGTAGCGGGCCCACCCTAAGCCCCAAACCCAACAACCTAAATCCTAAGTTCTATCTTTCAGGTGGGGGATGCACAGCCAGGTTGCTTCCCCCAAAAGTGATGGCCTCGAATATCTACACCCTAAGCCCTCTGCAGCGATTAAAGCTCGCGAACTCGGAGAGGCCGAGGAGGTGCCAGCTTTGACATGGGATGACCAGGCATGTGGGGGCTGCCTAGTGTTCATCTGGGATACAGCTCTCTTCTTTTTTCGGTTCCAGTGGGATAGCATGATACGGCTTCTAGTTGGGCAAGTGGGCAAAAGCTCTTGGAGGGTTTCGTCTGAGCGCGCGGGGGGATAAGGTTTTTGATTTACGAGTGTTAGTGTCTGGCAGTGTGTATTGCAATCAAACAAACTTCGCTTCCAACCTGCAAGCCCAAACGGTGCCGAGCTGCTGAGAGTACGCCATCTTGGAACACCCTCTAAACAGAGGCAGGCTCAAGCTCTCCCCAGTAGACTCAAGAGATTTAAAATTCTTTCGGTGATGGTGACCATGCAGCATGCACCTAGTGAAGACTTGCCGACCACACAGCGTGCTGCGCGTGGATGCGCATCAGGCGTGCGTCACATTCCTCACCTTGCTGACGTACTGCCTCGAATGTTGCAGCTCTTGCCTGACGCCTGTCCTTGGATCTTACCTCAAACGCTGACTTGCTCCGAACACAGCCAAGAGCTGCAACAGCTAAACCCTCAAGCCCTCAAGCCCTTAAAACCCCAGAAACCCCAGAAACCCGAAACCCTAAACCCTAAGCCCCAAGCCCTAAGCCCTAAGCCCGAAGTCGCCCCGAGCGAGGCCTCTGAAGATGAAGAGCCGACGCCCGCTGCCACTTGGGAGGCCGGGCTGGCCCCCAATTCATTCCAAAAACCAGGCGAGTAGCATTTGCCGAAGGTTTGAGGCTTCAGCTTTCTAGTTGAAGATGCTATTTTCTTGTCGCAGGGGTACTTGAGATGCTGGGTGGAAGATTGATGTGGAAGGATATCTTCTTCAATATTTGGGCATGGGGTGATCTGTGTTTTCAGAACACTCCCTCAAAAAAGGATCCAGGGCTTGATTCGAGGCTTTGCTGATCACTCTACATCCTCAATACGCGGAAAACATCATGTTGTCTCAAATTGCCCTGAAGCTCTTCCCGGAAGGTCAAGGACTCAAGGACTTTCGGTCGGAATCGCCCGATCCACCAAGCAAACCTAAAACGCCAAGCCTTCGGCAGCTAAACCCCGATATCCGCATCCGAATGTGAGTCTTAAAGAGCCTCAGACCCCTAAACCCCTGAATTCCCACACTGTCTGCGAACAGATCTTCACTCCAAGGAATCTGAGAAGTCCGAGACGCCGCCGCCACCGTCTTCAGAGGACGGTTTTGTGCATCTTGTGTGGGGTTTAGGGTTTAGGGTTTGGGGTTTAGGGTTTAGGGTTTAGGGTTTAGGGTTTAGGGTTTAGGGTTTAGGGTTTAGGGTTTAGGGTTTAGGGTTTAGGGTTTAGGGCCGTAGGGTTTAGGGTTTAGGGTTTAGGGTTTAGGGTTTAGGGCCGTAGGGTTTGGGGTTTAGGGTTTAAGCTGGGGTTGCCTTAGGGTTTTCGAGGGCTCTGGCAAGGTTTCTACAAGGCCTAGGCTTGTGTGCCGGCCGGCGGGTTTATGTTGAATTCGTTTCGTGTAACTCAAAGGTTACGATGAGGTAGCAGCTATAATTTATGAAGCTAGTTCGTGTAGTAAGTTACAGATGGTTGCTGCTTCGCCATCGGCAACTACAAACTCGTAGCAGCATAAGCACCGCCATAGGACTGAACAGGACCAAGGCCTTTCGTTTCATAGCCCAGTGCACGCCCCAAGGCTGTCGGGGGTGTCTGTCCTCTTTCCCCTGCATGGTGCTAGAGTTGCAAACCCGGATTCAATGGAGGAGTGCTGGATGTTAGATAGACAAATAACGCGAAAAGAACGTAAAAACAACGTGAGTAGGCTTCTCGGGAAATGTAGAAAACACGTGGAACAAACGTGGAAAAAACGTGGCAAACAGGTGTAATTAACATTGTGTAAAACAGGTTCAAAACGCGGAAAAAATGTGGAAACAAGGTGTAAAATTACGATTTATTTTCCTTGTTTTTTCACGTTTTAGCAAGCACGATTTGTCGACATTTTCTCACGCGTTTTCTACGTTTTACAGAGGAAAGCGTGGTTTTCCTTCTGGAAGCACGACTTTTCTACCTTTTTCACGGTTTTCTGCGATTTTCAACATCATCGAGTGACGTTTTGTTTACGTTCATTTCACGTTTTTTTAAATCCCGTAAACCCAATCCTCCATTCCAGATCTGTTTTCAATGCTAGAGACTGCAGCGAGGCGTTCCTCTCTGGAGATGCTGCAAGGGACCAGGAAGAAGTAGTGCCCTGGCTTGGCTTTGCTGCTGCACTCGTGTCAGAGTGTTGCAGGCACTGGCTAGCTGGAGCAAGTGCTTCTTTTGGTGCCTGGTTTACTGATGCTTCTACTCTCTCTTGCTGCAGTTGCTACTGCTCAGAGCAGTGACTTGCCATGGTACCGAGCTCTAGTCGATCCTTTCATCCGTACAAAGCTCAAGCCCCCAAGCCGTGGATCTGCGCAGCCTTCTTCTGCACTCCAACCTGTTCTACTGGTTTGCATGTTGCAACACAGGGTGTATCAATTCTTTAAACCCTAAACCCTAAGTCTTAAACCCCAAAGCCTGAAGAGCTTGTGATTTTGCAAGGCTGGCAAGCCACAAGTCCTCAATGCATGGAAGGCTGCTCGCGTTTTGGGATTTGGGATGTAGGGTTTCAGGGGGTTTAGGGTAGGTTTAGGATATACCTTGGTTTGCCCAAGTAAAAAGGGTTCTAGGTATATTGGGCCATGAGAACTTGGGATCATGGGCTGAGATCTTTGCAAAATGTGGGGTGTAGGATCGAAGTGTGTGGAGCCTAAGCTCGAAATAGAGTTCAGGATAGGCTTCCTTCCTTTGGAGACGTGGCCTACTATGCCTCTATCGAGTGCCTTCGTGCAAGTCTAGCCTAGCCACAATTCGGGATTGGTAATGCTGGACACGTAAGACTAAGCGTTTTTGAGTCATGAGGATGAAGGCCCAGTACTTCGAGATGCCAAAGCCACCAGAATGTCCTGCACCAAGTCCTTGAAGTGCTGACAGACAACTACGCACCCAAAACACAGTTTAAGGTGGTCATGACGGCAACAGCCGCTCCCAGTTCCACAAGCCTTTAGCCGCAAAGTATTCCTGACCCGCTGTTGGTTATCGCAGGAGAAGGCTAAGAGATCCAACTACAAGTCTGGCCCCCTGCCAGGGCAGGAAAAGTTAGCGCAATTCGTGGAACAGTATCGTGCTGTAGTATAGTATCGTAGGGCATAGTATTGTAGAGTACTGTGCAGCCTTGTATCGTTTTTTGGCATAGTATTGTATGCTCTGGTATTTCTGGTAAGATTTCATGGGGGGGTGCTAGGCTATCAGAGACAAGGTCTTGTAGCTCCCCCGGTAAAGCATTTGGGGGTTTACGAAAATAGGGGACCCGCAATTTAGACCCTCAAATAGTAGGATCCCCTGATAGCAAGGGCGCCAAGAAGGTACCCCTAATATCGTAAACCCCCATTAGAGTGGTTTTTGGTTTATGTTGGGGCTGCTACTGCTGCTACGCATGTCGCTCGTCACATCCTGGCACGACGACCACCATCCTATGACCTTAGGGCTTAGGGTTTCGGGCTTAGGGTTCAAGGTTGCTACCACCACTGCTACCACTACCACCGCCAAGTAGCACCACCTCCTCCACAAAACTCAGGGCAAGAGAGTTCACTTCGCAGCTGCAGCTTGATCCAAAAATTCTTGAAGAATCTGGGAAGTAGGGCATTCTAAGTCACAAATCCCAGCAGTGGTGTCAATTGCGTTATATCCTACTTCGCACGGTAGGTCATAGTCTAGTGTACTGTCCATGATATGTCACGGGGCAGCGAATGCCACCACTTCTGTGGTCTGTATGCAAGGAAAATGGCTCGCGTGGGCCTGAGCATGTGTGGAATATCAGGGGCTGTGGTGTCGAGGCTGCCCCGTGTAGGCATCGAATGTAGGTCTTGAGGTCTCACTACAGTGCCCAAGGGTACCTCGTTGCCGTAGTACCTTATGATAGTACCTTGTCATAGCAGCTTAGGGACGTTCGGGCTCTGGGTCTCTGGTGGAGTCTCGGAACGATGTCAAGAAGGTTCGGAATGAGCAAGTCGAAGCTAGGTCCAGGACAGAATTGGAATCAAGAATTGCATGGTCCAAGTCCACTCTGGAACATGTGTAGCCCAATCAAAGCACATTCTTCCGTGTCAGACTGTGGACACTTCGGGGTTTCAAGCGCATGACATCTCGCCCCGGCCTCAAAAAACCCGTACAAGGCTTCTCAAAGAGTTGAGAGAAGTCCTGGTATAACTTACATGTAGAATCAGCACCCAGGGTCTGTCTTGCAATTGTGCTTAGAACTCGTACTATAGATAGACAACAACCCCTCACTCTCTAAACCATACGAATACCTCAGACCTCAAACCCGGCACCCCGAAACACTCCTCCTGTAGCCCCTACATCCTAAACTGCCGCTTAGCTGTGTCC